GCCCAGCTAATTTTTTGTATTTTTAGTAGAGACGGGGTTTCACCATGCTGACCAGGATGGTCTCGATCTCTTGACTTCGTGATCCACCCGCCTCGGCCTCCCAAAGTGCTGGGATTACAGGCGTGAGCCACCGCGCCCAGCAAGAGGAAGTTCTTAAGGTTCTTGGTGGCATCACCTAAGGCATTCTGGGAAAACCTAGGGCCTGGCCCCAAAACTTCCCTACTCTGTGGCTAGTCCTGTCACTGACTAAATCATAAGGACTGGGCTTTTCAGAGCTTTGCTTTTATTTCCAAGTCAAGGACAAGCAGCTTCATTCACTCCTGGGTATTTACTCTTCTTGCGGGTCTGTGGTATTCCTTGCTTTCCAGGGAGAATGCACTTGGCAAGGTCTGGAGAACTAATTCAGAATCTTAGGGGAAGGGGAGTAGAGATGAACAGACAAATATAAACCTGCTTACTGGAAAGGTACAAATATATGGTTGAGCTGGAGGTAGGAATACAGGTAATTTTCTAGTTTAAGGGAAAACAGATCTACTGCCATTTAAATAAGGTAGCTGGGATTTGGTCAAGTTCACAAAGATAGCAGAAGTTTTACAGACTTCACCCATACCATCAGGACAAGAGAAAGCCTGGTAAACCAGCTCTAGCAGTTTACCAGCATGGTGGTTGTGACACAGCTCCACTCCATGGGTGGACACAGCAGAGGGCAAGTGGGCTGGCCTGGTCCAGTGTGAATCCAACTGCTTAACCCACACGTGGTACATGTGATTTTCTTTTGTGAGCCTTACACCAAGCCAAGCTATTGTCAAAGCATCATTTGTACAGAAATAAAGCCTTATGTATTTGGTGAGTCACTTATGGGCAGGGTGTGCAAAAACCTTAAGTGCAAACCAGATAGACCCTGGTATCAAGAAAGCACAAAATATTAATAGAAGTTTCCAGTTGGGGTGATTTAGGTACAACAGAAAAAAGACTTGATTATAAAGCCATTTAAGAATTCCAGAGTAGGGTGGGGAAAGCAAAAAGCCAGCTCTGAGCTGGTAACAGCTACATGGTGACTGAGTATGGGCAAAAGTGTGGTGCCCAGATCCCATGTCACAGGCTTCCGGGAACTAGCTATAAAGGGGTCCTGTACAGATAAACTTGGCTCCAATCCCAGCTCTTCCTCTGACATTGTGTGACCTCAAGGAGTTTAAATGGCACCTTGGTTTCAGGGTCACTTGGGTATGAGCATTGGATATTCCCATCCCCACCTCAGTAACTAAAGGAGGCCAAACCAAGATAAATGTGTCTATCTACTGTGTCCCAGGCTTCTTTATTTAAGAAAAA